TGAAGAAAGCGAGAATTGAATTGAAAATGTTGAAATTGGGGAATGTATGGGATTAAAGAGTGTAGACAAATCATTTGTTCTCACACTAATTGAATGTTGATATATTATCATTTGGTGCATTTATTTCCCTGTTTAGAAAATAATGCTTTGGGCTACGGTGGAGGGTAGTGTTGATTGTTGTAGACCAATGCATGAATGATTAGGCAAACTAAACTAATCAAAATCGGATGTGTCATAGAGTATGACGGTTGAAGAATACTTAAGGCTTTATGATTGAGTGATTGTGTATATGACCAATGTGTTATAGCATTATGTGTAGACGGTTGGTAGAAATACATTAATTTTATGTATTGATTGATTGTGTATAGAACCTTTGTGTTTAATATGCATTGTGTATAAGAGGAGGAGATGGGGGATGTACTCGCGGTTTTAGGGGAAGATGGGGATGTACCTCTAAACCGGATAGGTATTGGGAGAGATGGGGATGAACTCCGTTAGACCACAGCTCATATGCTTGTCTAGAGAAGTGAAGATAACATCATATGCTTTCTTTGTGAGGTGTAGATACAGCTATATGCTTGTCTTAGTGAAGTGTGGATACAGCTAATATGCTTATCTGTTGATGTGAATATGCTTATCTATGTGGAAATGTTGATATAAGCTCATATGCTTATCGGATTGTAGTATTGATGTAGCTTATATGCTTATCTTGTTGTGTAGTGATGTAGCTCATATGCTTATCTATTGAAAAGTTTGTTTGATTTATATAGCGCTAAAATGTATATCATCATCGTTTGTGAAGTATGGAAGTAGTTTATGTGTTATTGATACACACCAAAATGTGCATCCAACCGTGAATTTTGAAAGTTTGTTCTAGTGATAAACTATAATCTCATCAAAAATGTTTTTGGCCAGAGTATCTGAGCCCTGTTTTTTCAAACTCAAAGTTGAATAAGAAATGAAAAGTGAGTTGTAACGTTAGGCTTGGTTGTCATGATTGAAAATAAGAAATGTAATGGAGGGTAAGTATCGACCATCTTTCAGTTTGCTAATCTTTTTAGGCATTGTTATAATTGGTTTAGTATATCTCTGTTGGGTCTGTGGCTCACCCTAAATTATGGGAAACATCATTTCAGGTAACAAGAGCATGCAACCTCTGAGGAAACTTGGGAGGCTAGGGCAAACATACTTTTTGTTGCCTTATTTTCCCTTTTGATTGTATTACATGTAAAATTCAAGCCAAGGGCTTATGTGTAATCGAGTCAATACTCTCTTTTGTAACCAAGTGTTAACTTGGAAAGCTGTAAAGCCCGTAAGGGCATTTACTTTTGTTGTTAACGTGTAAATACTTTTGTAATGAAGTACTCTGATGAATTGAGGAAATGTGGATCTTTTGTATATAAATGTATGTTTATAATTGATGGGTTTAATGTTATTATTTTTTTTTTTTGAGGGCGTTTAACAACAACCCTCCTATCTTTCTTACAAAGAACTTAGGTAGAAACACTAAAAATAGATGAAACCCTAGAGGGAAGGTGTATAGAGAAAGAGAGAGGACGGATCTAGGGTTTTTGAAAGCAAAAGAGGAATAAAAGTGAAGTGTTTCCCCCGCTACTGTCTACTGATATAACAACAGGCTCGCTGAGCGATAGGATTGATCGCTCGAGCGACACTCAAACACAAGGAACCCTTCGCTCAGAGCGTAGAAAGCCTCGCTCGAGCCCAACATTTGAACCCTCAGGTCTAGCAATCCAGAGCACGCTACGAGCGAAGAAAGCTTCGCTCGGAGCGAAGAACTCCAAAAACATAGTCCTCGCTCGCTTCAAAAGCGAAGGAAAGCTCGCCCGAGCCAAAGGATTTGCAAACCTCAGGTCCAGAAACCGACGTAGACCGCATGCCTCGACGCGAAGGACTTCTCCCTCGAGCCAACCAGATACAAAACTCAAACTCTTGCTTTCGAGCGAAGGAACCCTTGGCTCGGAGCGAAAGGATCTAAAACACAGAAGCTCGCTTGAAGCGTAGAAAGCCCGTCGAGCTAACAATTCGAACTTCAGGTCTAACAACCCAGAAGCACGCTCGAGTGAAGAAAAGCTTGCTCGAGCGAAGAAACTCCAAACATAGTCTTCGCTCGCTCCGAGTGAAGGAAAGCTCGCTCGAGCCAAGGATTGCAACTCTCAGGTCCAGAACCGGACGTAGACAAAAGCTCGAGCAAAGGACTTCTCGCTCGAGCCTACCAGATACAAAACTCAACTCTCGCTCGAGCGAAAGGAACCCTGACCTCGAGCGAAGGACTAAAACACAAGAGCTCGCTCGAGCGAAAGGAACCAAATTCTGGGCAGCAACCATTGCTCCCAATCACAACCAACCTGTAACAATCCTGCCCAAAACATTCTATAACTCAAAAATACAAAGTATTGAAGGACGGAACAAGATATAAACCACAACCGACATCCACGAACCAGTCGGATACAACAACCAAAGGAAAAGGAAAGGGAAAAAAAAAAACGGGGAAAAAAAAAAAATCGCTATAACAAAAAAATTGTTTTTACTTATATAAATGGGGTTGTATAAGGGAAAAAAAAAAAAAAAAAAGAAAAAAAAAAAAAAAAAAAAAAAAAAATTCCCACTTTTAAATGTAAAGTGAAACAATTCAATTTGTTTCCTTCTTTTCCCGACGTGAGAATTTGTAAAATAAAATTTAAAGTGGAAGCTAACCAATTGAGAATTTTTTTAATTATTTAAAATTAAGAAAATTCTAATAAATTTTAAATATAAATGGGAGCCTTAAGATTCAACTTTATGTAAGTGAAACCAATTCACTTTTTTTCTTTTTTTCTCGATGTGAGATTGTAAAATAAAAGATAAATGGAAGCTTAGCCAATGAAAAATTTTCTTAATTATTTAAACATTAAGAAAAATAAATTTCAATAGTTTTAGAATAAGGGTTTGAAACTCCTAGAAAGGCTTCTCGCCTCAAAACTCCTTCTATAAGATTCATTTTATATAAAAGTGAAATAACTCGTTTTTTCATTTTTTTTTTTTTTCTTTTTCCTGATGTGACACTACAACAAGTTGGGTCTTGAATGACGAAATTTTTTTGTCTCCAAAGAGCTATTTCGTCATATAGATATTTGTGAGGAAATATTTTCGTCACCGGTTTCGTCATTGAATGTTTGTCACTAAAAACCAACGTGAGAAAAATAGATTTCGTCACCAATGAAATTACTTTCAGTGATGAAATTTTTTGTCACCAAATAAAACACATTGTCCCAAAATATTCTCATTTTCGTCACCAAATAGTTATTCATACCATATTTATGACTTTAGTTGACGATAAATTTGTCACGCATTGTTGATCATTGATGAGGAAAATATTTCGTCAAAAAATAGATGTAAAGATGACAAATTTTTCGTCTTCAAAAGTCATAATTTTTTTTGTCACCAATAAAACAAAATTTGTTCGAAAAATTCTCATTTTCGTCACCAAAATAGTTGTTCAGTACATATTATAACTTTAGTTGAACGAATAAATTTTGTCACGCATGTTAATCATTGATGAGGAAATATTGTCACAAAAGATGTAAAGGTGACGAAATTTTTTGTCTTCAAAAGTCATACATGGGTGACGAAATATATTTTCGTCATAAATATATATACACGTGACAATTTTGAGTCACCAAAACAAAATAATAAAAACTTTCATATATAAACTGCAGTAATTTTGTCAAGAAACAAAATTTTGTATTAGTGACGAATAATCATTTGTCATAATAAGAGTACAAAATGACGAAAGAATTCGTCACTAAAGTTGTTCCATATTTTATATTCAATTTAAGTTATTATTATACAATATCCCTGCTCAGATCTCCAATAGCCTTTTAATTGTACTAAGAATCCACTAGCTATTAGTACACTCACTCCAACAAAAATTCACTAAACCATTATATTAAAATCAAAATGTATCCATCAAACAACTTTCATAATATCCATTATGTTAACAAAATAATCAGCAAATCCAAAATGAACTAATGTGGAGTCCACAAAAAAAAATCAACACTCAATTCTTGATTTATGCAACTACAACTAAGTATCAGTTCAGGAAATAATAAATAATTCAACACTTGATCTTGTTTTGCAAATATGCTCCAAACGTCATCAAAAACCAATCTGCAAAGAAATAAATAAGGAAGACATTAATATATTATAATTAAATTACATATGTGCAAAGTTAGGTTTTCTTCAGTCAGAAGTCTACAAGTCAAACAGTTAATCATTTAACATATGTTGTGATCTAATGTTTCCCATGAACAACAAAACAATGTGCAATAAGTTATACTGCATTATATAATCCAACAACTATTGCCATTTGAGGTATTGACATCAAAAACTTAAATAACCAATGTCCAGAAGGACCCAATTTGAACATCAACTTAAATAACTACAATGCCAGAGGACAATCAACCAGACCAATGTGCAATAATAATATGCTAAGTGATTTTATTAAATATGAATAGGACTAAGACCATAGTAGGTATACTAAGTGGATTTCTTTTAATATGATCTACTTCCACATACACAAAAAACAATGTTCAATGCTCAGATGCCAATGGGAAGATAAGATCCATACAATCTAGTTTCTTGTATTTTGCATCCTAATAATTTTGTTTTTTTATTTTTTTAAAAGATAAAAGAACTAACTAGATTCCTTGTGCTTGCTTACCTTGCTTTGGTTTACCTTGTGATTTGCATGATATCTCTAATTTTGCAAATGGGTTGTATAAAGGTCTAATAACCACCCAACCATTAATAGTAAAGCAGTATAAAAAAAATAAATTTAGTTTAATCAAAAAGTAAAACCTGAAGCACTTGAGCAGGCAATCTCTGAGCTGCTACATCTTGCTTCAAGCAAATTGTAGCATCTTCTGTTACCCCGTTGTTCTTGCTCTACCCTCATCAGAAACTATCAGATAAGTCATAAATCATATATTGTTAGATCTTATCACATAGAGAAAACAAGAACAATTTTTACATATTTAATTTTCAAACATAAAGCAATGCAAAACCCTGAACATGACATTTTTTTTGTCTTGCTTATAACAAGGGCATGTCGAAGCTCAGCATACCTCTCGCTCCAATTGTTCCAACTGAAACTCATAAGCAAATTAGTTAATAGAAAATTATTTTATTTAAGCATTTTAAACTAGGTAGAAGAATAAATAAGAACTCAACCACTAAACAAGCATTCTTGCTTACAAAATTTTAATAACTACATCAAACAATTTTAAGTAAGATTCTAGTAGAAAAAATGTTGAAAAACTTAGGTAAAGGAATTCCCCACCTCTCTCTCTCTTTCCTCTTCGATTCAAAACCCACAAAATATGATCAGGAAAAAGAAATCAAAAATACACCACAAAGAAGGTGTGGAACTTTGGCTTGAATTCAATGAGTTATGGAAAATATTAACAAATTAAGAAAAACTCACAATGGAATGGAAAATGCAGGGCGGCACAAGCTCATAGAGGAGTCGTGATCAAACATGGATCATTCAGTGAATGGAAAATGCAGGTTTAACAATTGGGAAAAACCATCCTTAATGTAGATGTCTATGGTGGCAAATTGTGGATTAATATCCTACATGAAAATTGACACACACAATTCATCAAGTGTTGATCTAGTTCTCAAAATTGCATTAATGAGCCTGTTTGGTGCAGTATTTTTTATGTTTAATTATTCTAAAAGAAAGATCCCCTAAACTATTAGTGAGAACTAGATCAACAAATGATGAGGATTAAGATGGTACAATGTCGTCAAAGCCTCTAGGCTTGTATGCCATGGATGATCAGCTGATGAATTGAAACTATTGTTGCTCATGTCCCTGCATACCATCATCTTATGGTCAGAAAATGCAAATAGATTTCACATGCATTGCTAACAAAATTGAATATCGAAGGAAATTGCAACAACTTACAGAGAGTTGAGAAAGTTCATCCCTGTGAGATTGGGCGAAGGTCCATTCAAATTATTGTTCGACAAGTACCTGAAAAGGCATAACCAAAACACTTTCTTAATGACACAACTTGAATTCTACATGAAGTTGGAAAATTTTCTGTGTGTGTACTTACAGCTCCCTGACACTTGTAAGGTTGTTGAGGTTTGAAGGAACAGGCCCATTTAATGAATTCCAATTGAAGCATCTGTTTGCAAGGCAAAAGTTTCAATCCAAAACAAGAAACCAAATTTGTTACTATAGGAACATGAAAGCCAATCACAGAATGGTTTCTGTAAGAAGCTTAGTAAGAAGTTTCTAGAGTACATGACATAGATACTCACATGGCCTCCAAAGTCTGCACATATCCTAGTGTGTCAGGGATGCTTCCAGTGAGTTTGTTGTTATCAAAAATCCTGCTCAATATAAAAGTATAATTAATTATTAGAGACAAGATAATGTCCAAATTGGCATTAGTTGGAACATAGGATCGCCTAGTGTCACAACAACTGAATCAAATGCTCCACATGAAGTCAAAATATGCTAATTAATGACTAAGTTTTGTCGTTCATAACATCAAAGATTACAATTTGGAAACTTATGCATGTATCAGATTCATGTTTAAGTGGAAAAGTTTAGATGGAATGCTGCCGAATAGCTGATTCATTCCTAGATGACTGTGAATAATGGGCAGAAATTTGCTTAAATTTAAATAACAATAATACTAAAACATGTTATCTTCAAAAGAATTTGAAAAAAATAAAATAAAATTTAAGTTTGATATTTCAAAGAGGTGAGACATACAAGTGCCTTGCTTTAACTAGCATATCCAGACCAGTTCCAGTTGTGCTCCTACTAGAGACTGGAATTGTTCCATTAAGCTGGTTCTCAGTTAAATCTAGCCATGAAAGATTAGACAAATTACCAATGGAAGGCGGGATTGGTCCACTGAAGCTGTTCGCATTCAGAGCTCTGCAGACAATGCCAATAAAAGTTTGATATATTTACTGTACCATAATTAAGAAGACCAAAGACATGAGACTAGACATATACACCGGACTTGAAATTCTTACAAGAAGACCAGTTGCTGCAGAGATCCTATTGAGTCCGGAATTGGACCAAAGAAACTGCAACCAATGAGGATTCTGTATGTAACAAAGAGCAAATGATTCAATGTAAGGAGTGAAATTGCACGAGTTGCTGATACTAAGAAATAGATAGAATTTTCTTACAAGGTTGTAAGCTGATTCAAATTCCCGATTGATGATGGAAGAGTTCCTGTCAGACCCTTGTTGTTAGATAGATCCCTGTATGCAAAAGTTAATAATGAGAAATTATCCTCTCTTTTTTCTATCAAGAATGGAAAATATAGAAAAATAAAGCAGCTAATTAAGCAAGCAACTAAAAATGGTCTTATGGAAGTAATATTATTTAAGGTATCCAAAATGATAATTCAGCAATTATGTTTATGGTGAATCAAGCTATTGAAAATGCTAAGGATATCCAATTCCAAGCACTGTAGTCTACAAAGATGATGGTAACGGAAAGTGAATTTGCCATTTATATTACATCTGAATGGATTAAAAGCAAAAGAAAAATTAGAAAACCTACAGATATTGCAATTCAGATAATGATAGGATGTCATTGGAAAGGGAACCTGTCAAATCCATGCCTGCTAATACCCTGAAATTGAAAGTTAACCGGTTAAAGATCAAAGATTGTCAAGTTTTTTTAAAACAGTAGAACACGATTGCATTACATGGAGGTCACTCGTGAATTGTTGCAAGAAATTCCATCCCAGCTGCTGCCACAAGGGTCTGACCCAACCCAGTTCGGTGGCGTGTTCTTCCATTTAGATTTGAGAGCGTTCAAAGCATCAACTGCATCAAAAGTCAATAACAATTCCATGTCTTAATCACCAAAAACCAAATTCTCAAACAGAAACTATCCAATTCGCTGCAAGTAAATGCTAAAACCAAAATGGAATTGAGAAGAAATAGAAGCAATTTATCCCATGCATAACGAAAATAATTCAAGGATTCACAAGAAGATAGTCAAATCAAATCAAGCTTGGTGTCCCAATCAATTGGGGTTGACTATAGGATTCACAACAAGATATTGTATTCAATTCTAACAAATTTTTAAACTATAGATAAAAAGCCAAACTAAATTTGATGATGGCTTCATGGGCTTTTAACAAACTCTAAATCAATAAAAAGTTATTTATAAGACAAATAGAGCATCGAAATAGAAATGAAAGACTACCAGCATACTGAGGACATAGAACCACAAAAAACACAGTAAATCATTGCCAAATGAAAACAGAATACAGAAAACGAAAACACAATCAAACAGGCCTTAAACCTTTTATTTTTTGTATGTGACATTCAATTTAAGATTGGAATAGACAAAGAAACACAAATTTCTAATAACTCAAAAAGCAAGCTTACCATCAATTGAGTTGGTAGATGCTGCTACAACCAAAATTTGAATGAAAATCACAAAAAGGCAGACCTGAAATCTTGGACCCATTTTCTCAAGAAACAAAACAATCTCGTCAAATCAACTGATATTCTGATAAAAAGGGACCATGTGTTGTAGATTTCAATTTTGGGTGACTGGGTTCTTCTTCTTCAAAACAAGTTTTATACAATACCCACAAACCACCATTGACTAAAACAAAAGTGTGAAGGCTTAAGAATTCAACAAAAGAACACATGGTATCTATGTAAAGCTATATAAAACAAACAAGTAGATGAAACAGAGACTTGGTCATAACCATATTTAATGCTAAGCACACCTTATAATGAGTCCTCCCATTATATATACATACAAATAAATATATGAATGAAAAATGAATGAACTGTCTCAGATGAAACCTATGAGTTCCCTCGAGTTTAATATTTGAATTTGTCATTGTTAAAGCGTGTGAAGGTTTGCTGCAAAATGACAATTCTTAAAATATTAGTGAATTTTCGCTTTTAACCATCAAAGTTATGTATTTATTTGTCTAATTTGATTCTTAGAAGTATCTCATTGTTTCCCTTCTTCCCCAATCTCAACCTCCATTATGTATTATATTTTTCTCACAATGATCCTTACAGGATTGATTTTTTTGTTGTTACATTTACTCCACCCAAAAAATAAAGAAACACTCTACTCAGTGAGTGGGGTGGTTTCCCAAAGTACTTCGTTTGGCAAGTTACAATTTTAGCCCAAAAAATAAAAATAAAAAACTAAAAAAAAAAGTTTAAAAAATTAATAAATATCAAAAAATCAAAGATTTCTTTCTATTTACTCTATTTTTTTTTGTACATCTTTTCGTAAAAAATTAAAAAATATTCTAAAAATAATTTTTTTCATATTATGTTTTAGTTAAAAAATTAAAACGCCACTAAAAAAAACTTGTTTCCAAATGGAATTCCCACTAATTGAAGCAATGTCTATGGAGAGAAAGTTGATTGTCATGGGAAGGATGAACCCTGCTTTCAGGATGTAACCATCTTGTCACACGTAGAGGAAAAAATACTATTTGAAAATAGATTATTTTCTGATTAAAATTAATATTTTAAGGATCAAGGTGGAAAAAATATGGGTAAATTACATTGACACCCCTTGAGGATTGGTCCATTTACTATCCACCCCCTGATGTTTTAAAAATTATATTCCCACCCCTGTGGTTAATATTCTCATTTTACAAACCCCATACTTATATAAAAGGTAATAATTCTTAGTAGAAAAATAAAAGAAATTACATTAAAAAAAAAAAAGTAAAGAAAAGAGGGAAAAAAAAAAGAGAAAGTGAAGCAAAGCAAAAAAAGAGAGAGTACGTGAGTTCAATGTCTTCATTCCGTCTAAATAATTACAATGACAGAGGGGTTAATGCAATTCTCAAACGTCAGGAAGTGATATATATTAAACCCAAATCTCAGGGGTGTAAGTGTAATTTACCCAAAAAATATAATACTTCAAGGTCCAATATAAGAAAGTAACTTGTTTGGAAATTAGCTATTTTAGTTGACTTTCTAACTTTTTACAAAAAGATGTGTAAAAAAGTAAAAAAGTAGTACTACATCCCTCTAATGTTGTCCCCCTAAATCCACCTCTAATGAGCTCACTCTCATGTAAAGCGTTCCTACACTCCTCTCTCTCTCTCATTTTTAGCGTCCATTTTTTGGATACATCGGAAAGCAAACAAGAGCAGAAGAAAGAAAAAGAAGAAGGAAAGAAGGGAGGCACTCAGGAACTAGATTCTCCGATATGCCATCCCTACCATATCAGCCACAATTTGGCTTCTAACTACAATAGGTGGTTCATCTACCACCACCAATGGTTCCAATTGGTCAGCTCTCATGTTGGCTAATAAATCTACACACTTGTTACCCTCTTGCAGAATATGTTGAACAGAGTAATTACACCTGCAGATTAGGTGTCTAGAATCCTCCACTATGCTTCTGAAAGGGCAGTTTGAAGGTGGCCCTTTATTGAGCAATTCTTCAGCTAAGGTAGAGTCCGTCTCGATGATAACTTCGTGCAAACCCTTCTCTAGCACCATTGTTAAACCCCTGTAAATACCCCACATTTCAGCCTCCAAACTATAACAAGAGTCAAGCTTGCCAAAAAATCCACACAACCAAGAGCCATCTTCATCCCGAAATACTCCGCCAAAGCCTCCTTCACCCGGATCTCCTCGAGCACAACCATCGGTGTTGAGCTTGATTTTACTTGCAGATGGCGGAATCCATTTAACCATAACATGAGTTAATCTATTACTAGTCAAAGAAATAGAGAAAGCATGTTTAATCTCATTAACATAATTAAATGTTAGAAAAATTGTTCTCTGCCAAGAAGGAGCAATATCATGAAAAACTTTTCTATTCCTTTCTTTCCAAATTTGCCAAATAGTAACAGCAAAAATGAGGCCCCAATCTGGACCCACGTCTATGCTATTATGTAAATTGGATTTGAGCCAAACATTAAGGGGACTCAACATGGCCCTAGAACTTTGATAGCTTCCCATTAATTCATTCCAAACAAATCCGGAATAAGTACAACCACGAAGCAAATGTTCAACGTCCTCCAAAAGATGATTGCATCTAGGACAATTTGCGTTGTCCGTAATTCCCCTTTTTAAGCTCATAGAATTGGTAAGGAGTTTACCATGAAGAGTCAACCACAAAAAGCCTTTAAGCTTCTGTGGAATTTTTAATTTCCAAACCCAATCCATATTAATAGAATTATCCATCGAACTAGAGGCCATTTGATAGGCTGTAGCGGCAGAAAAAATTGCCACTGGTGGACTCCTTCCAATGGGGAGTATCAGGGTAGGGAACAAAACGAGATAAATTAACATTAAGCACATAATCAAGGGCTTCACTTGGAATGCAAGCCTTGATCTTATTCACATCACACTCCCCAACATCATTCATAAGTTTATCCACAGTATCCATATTGATTGAACTATGTTCGGGGTATTGTGAAGCGAGAGAAGCTTCTCCGCACCACCAATCATGCCAAATGGAAATTTTAGCACCATCACCCACACCCCACTTGATACCTCTTCTCAAGATATCTCTGGTTCTGAGAATGCCCCTCTAAGTAAGTGAGGAGTTTCTCTTGGAAGCATAAGAAAGAAGGGAATCTTTTAAAAGATATTTACCTTTAATCACTTTCACCCATAAACAATGCTCATTACTGAGAATTTTCCACCCCATTTTGGACATAAGAGCAAGATTCTGAGTTTTGGCCTTGCGAAGCCCAAGCCCACCCGCTCTTTTATTATAACACACAGTATCCCAATTCACAAGATGAATTTTCTTACTAGATTCAGAATCACCCCACAAAAAGTTACGATTCAGTCATTCCATAACCTTACAGATGCTTTTGGGAACATCCATAGTTTGCATAGCATAGGAGGAGAGAGCGGAAGTAACTGATTGTATTAAAGTGGCCCTCCCCGTCATCGAGAAAAGATTAGCTTTCCAGCCAAACAATCTTCTTTGGATCTTATCAATAATAAATTGAAAGTAACTCTGGTTACACTTTCTATGAAGCAAATGGATGCCAAGATAATGACCCAAATCTTGAGTTAGAGAGATACCACACAATCTACTCAAGGATCTGGCCTAGACATTAATAACATTAGGAGAAATGAAAAGTTTAGATTTAAAAAGATTAATCTTGAGACCTGAAAGAGAACTAAACTCATTCAAAACATCCATGATGATATGACAATTCTTTTCATCCGCTTTACCAAACAAAAGCAAGTCATCAGCAAAAAATAAGTGTGTGATAACAGGGCCTTGGGCCGAAGCCTTAACCCCTTTCCACTCCTTATCATTCACTTTGGCCATAATCATGCTCGAGAGTCTCTCCATACACAAAACAAAGAGATAAGGAGAGAGGGGGTCACCCTGCCTCAACCCTTTCTCCATATTAGATTCTTTCAACTTCTCACCATTCCAAAGCACAGAGGCTTTCACATTAGTAACACAGTTCATAATTAATTCAATCCAGTGATCATTTAAATTGAAATCAACAAGAGTTTGGTGAAGAAATTGCCAAGACACATTGTCATAGGCTTTTTTAAGGTCTATTTTTAAAATCATGTCACCTTTTTTACCCTTTTTTTCCCTAAGAGTATGAACAATTTCTTGTGCAATAATGATGTTATCACAAGTGGAGTGACCAGGGATGAAACTGTTTTGAAAAGGCCCAATCGCAGCAGACAAAATAGATCTGACATGACTAACTAACACTTTAGAAAAAGTTTTATACAAAACATTACAGAGACTAATGGGACGAAAATGGGTCAATGATTCTGGATTTTCAATTTTTGGAATAAGAGTAATCAAAGTAACTTTAAAATTATCAGGGATATTTTTATTAGCAAAACAAGACTGAATAAAATTACACACAGAGGGGCCAATAATCTTCCAATTACACACAGAGGGGCTAAAATTACATTTTTAGCGTCCATAATTTCACATTATTAGGGATGAAATTAGAGGAGCAAAATTAAGAAATGAATCATTATTCTTAGCTAAAAACCACACTCCCAAACAGAACAAAATGGCAAAATTTTGACAACATTTAGAATTGAGGCACAATGGGAACAATAAAATACTATAAGACCAAATTGAGAACACACATACATAGATAAATATATATATATATATATATATATATATATATATAGGGTAAATTATACTGATATCTTTTGAGATTTATGTTTATTATAGTTTCTCTTCTCACCTTTTGGAAATTACATCTCCCTCCTGAGATTTAAAGTTTCATTACAGATTTCTCCCTTCAGTAATTTAATTTTTTTAAATACCAATTTTGCCCTCATCGGATAAATTACATTGACACCCCTCACATTTTAGAAATTACAATCCCCTCCCTAAAGTTTAAAGTAGTATTACCAATTGCCCCATTGGTTAGTATTAGTTGGAAAAAAAATTAATTGGAAAAAAAATTATTTGAAAAAAAAAATTAATTGAAATTTTTTTTTTTGTTAGTAAGGTTTTTAAATTTCTGTTTAAAAACCAACGTAAGCTCATTTTTTGAATTTACGTTTTTTCCTCAAATTTACAAACTGAGACAACCATTTATAAACCAAAAAAATTATCAAACAAGTTTTTATGACAGTTTTTAAAATTTTTGTAAATATAAATTGAAAATTGAAAACGAAATGGTTACCAAACAGGCCTTAAATGGTAAAAATGTCGCAAAATTAACAAATACTTAAATAAGTTACGCTTATCAAAAGATTCTTACGGTATGCATGGTTTGATTTTTAGAAAAAAAAAATTAAAAATTAAAAACTAATTTGGTTAAGAAATAAAAAATAAAAAATAATTATCATTTTTATATAATTTTTATATTTCGAGTGGTTAGAAATAATTTTTTACAAATTAAATTGAAGCAGCCATACGTATGTATATAACCTGCGCAAAAGTTAAAATTAATAAAAATTATATAAAAATGATAATTATTTTTTATTTCTTAACCAAATTAATTTTTAATTTTTTAAAAAAAATTCTAAAAGTCAAACTATACATAGCCTAAGAATCTTTTGATAAGTCATTTCTTACGTTGGTAACTTATTTAATTATTTGTTAATTTTACGACATTTTTACCATCCAGCTTATTTGGTTTTCAGTTTTCAATTTATATTTACAAAAATTTAAAAAAATTGTCATAAAAATTTGTTTGATAATTTTTTTGGTTTATAAATGGTTGTCTCAGTTTGTAAATTTGAGAAAAAACGTAAATTCAAAAAATGAGTTTACGTTGGTTTTTAAACAGAAATTTAAAAACTTTACTAACAAAAATATTTTTCAATTAATTTTTTTTCCAACTAATACTAACCGAGGGGGCAATTGGTAATGCTACTTTAAACCTTAGGGAGGGGATTGTAATTTCTAAAATATGAGAGGTGTCAATGTAATTTACCCAATTAGGGCAAAATTGGTATTTAAAAAATTAAATTGCTGAAGGGGGAATCTGTAATGAAACTTTAAACCTTAAGAGGGAGATGTAATTTTCAAAAGTTGAGGGGGGAACTGTAATAAATATAAATCTCAGGGGGTGTCGGTGTAATTTATCCCAAAATAAAATAGCAGATTTTACTGGGGGTATTGTTGAAAAATCACAAATTGGTATTATTATTAGGGTGATTCTACTTACACCACTCTTTTCCCTCTTTACACCCTCTATCTCATTACACTACTTAAAAAAAAAAATTAAATTCTCATTACACCTGATATATTACCAAAACAAACCCTATGATAAAAAACTCTTCAAAACCCATCTCTTTACACTCGTACTTTGTGTTGGGCCTGTTCGGTAATACAATGTTAAACAATTTGAATTACTCTAGTTCCATGTTACCGGATAAAATTTTATTTCCCAGTATTATGTTACCATTCAATTGGATAATTTCAGTTCACTTCCCAACAAAATCAGTAGAGTCCACATTAAAAGTGCTTGTTTGGTCACACAATGCGAAACAGTTTATAAAAATTCGGTGCTATAATGCTGGAATAAATTGTTTATTCCAGCCTTTTGTTGCTATACATTTACAGAGCCACTTCCTCCCAAATAATGTAGTAATAATTTGTGATGGGCCTGTTCGATAATAAAATGCTAGTGAATTTTAATTACTCTATTGTTATGTTGCTGGAAAAAATAGATTTGTCTAGCGTGCTGTTGCTATACATTTACAGAGCCACTTTGTTCCAAATGATAATTTGGGCTTGTTCGGTAATTTGATACCAGACTTATATTTTTTGTTCGGCAATTTGTTACTAGACTTATATTTTTTGTTATGTAATTTACCGGAAATGTATCTTTTATTCGGCAATTTGATACTAGACTTATATTTTTTTGTTCGGCACTGTGATGCCGGACTATGTTATTTTGTTCGATTTCGAAATACCGAACAAAAGTCGCAGACCAACCCAGAAAATCGAAACAAAAACCTACCAAACTAATAAAAAAACTCACCGTTTCACTTTTTTGATGGTTTTTCACCATCGTTTCTTCATCCATTGCTTTTTTTTGATGATCAAGACACTATGATTATCACTTTTTCAAAAGAGATGTGTAAGAGAAAAGAAAAATTGAGAAAGAAAAAATAGGGATTGAAGATCAAGGGGTGTAAGGAGATAATCAAATATATTTAATTTTAGTGTTTTGTCCTTTTAAGTAATTTCACACATGGATAAATTTGGAAGAAAAAAATAATCTCATATGAAGGGTGTAAGGAGGTAAAAGAGTGGTGTAAGTAGAATCACCCTTATTATTATTCTAATTGTGCAAATGTTATTTTTGCTTTTTTTTTTTTATTATAATAAAAACTCATATAATTATCATTTGTTGATCTCATCATGAGAATGACAGCGAGATTGTCAAATTCAATGCTAAATTTAACAACAAAATTTGCAAATTTTGCATTACTATAATACATCGGGAAGATTGCAACTCATAAATTTTGCATTACTATAATACATCGGGAAGATTGCAACTCATAATCATTATCGAAATTCAACTTTACATTAATGATTGAGACACTAGTAAATATATCAACAAACAGAATACTTGTATTTGGAAATTGGATTCCACCATTTGATATAAAAGACTCATCTAACACTGTATAGTTAATGTGTTTTATTGATATGTTTATTTGTGTCTCTAACATCATTGTCATAACTAAACATAATATGAGGTATAATTAAAAATTTTATAAATCATAACTAAAATAATGCCATAATTAATAATAAAATCGATCATAATTAAAGCAAAAAATGACATAACTAGAAATATATATGGTACACTTCTTTCAACAGTGTGTATATTAGAATTTTCCATATATATATATATATAAAGGGTCATTTTAGAATGGGAAATTCTATAATACTTTTTTTTTTTTTTGATGTGTGTGTACCATTTGTCTAGTTATGATATTTGTAATATTTAGTTATAACTGATTGTAGTGTTGGTTATGACTTGATTATGACTTATTATAGTGTTAGTTATGACTTAATTATAATTTTTTGTGATTTTTATTTTAATTATGACATATTATAATTATTATTTTAGTTATAACCGAAAAAGTCTTTAGTTATGTCTCAAGAATTGTTTGATTATAACTTATTGTATTTTTTTTAATTATAACTTAAAAGTTAATTAATTAGAGCATCTTTAATAATTGAGCCGAATGGCTTACCAAAGCCAAAAAATGGTTAGACCTTGCAAAAATAGCCCTCCAATGATAAGCTAAAACCATTCTAAAAAATAGCAAAGTCAAACCTCATTAGAGGTTGAGCTATTTGTCTGTGTATCTTTAAAAAATATATTTTAAGTACCTTATCACAATATATAACATAAATTAATCATAGGATTTTGTAATAAATGCTAATCACAATTTTTTTTTTCTCTAAAATTGATTATAACATCACACCGTTCATATCGTAACAATTTTCACTTGTAAGGTACATTATTATATAGATTAATGTAGTCATAATGTTTACCATTAAATTGCATAACACTTTTTGAGTTGGGTTTGCTTCTAACTCTTATTTGGATTGACAGGTGATGTTTGAACTTGTGGAATCCCGTTTCGATTATCTGATCTGTTAATTTTATAAGACTTTTTGATTCATAAAATATAATTTTAAATCGATTCAATAATTGTTAGTTATTCATTTTATTACATTTGTTTTAAAAAAATGAATAACTTTAAAAATAGACTTGTCGTTTATTCTTTTAGAAATAAGCGCAACAAAATGAAGAAGTTATAATTATTAAATTGATTTAAATTTTTTTTGTAAACAATATCTACAAAAAAAAAAAGATTTAACAAAATGAACGATTTGAATAATGAAAAGAAAACTCCTAATAGACCTAATGAAATTGAATAACAGCCTTCAATTCAGACCATAGCAAAAGGCAAGCACATCTTTTGTTTTTTTACAATGTGTCCATTTTTTAGGGGATAAAAACCAAGTTTCTTCCAAACATTAATGGATTATATGGGTCATGTACTCCAGAAATTCATTACAGAGCATTTTTGTATTATGTGCTTTGGTTTCAAGTGAGCAGTTTTTTCATGATGTGATCAAATATACTAGTGCTTTGCCGGCTTTCAAAATTATCTAATACTTCAACATTTTGCTGTATTCAAAATTATCCACAACTTTTCTAAAATTCCCGATGGCCCCAATATGTTTCTATATTCCTAATTTCGTCCCTCAAGTTTCTGATATTTCTATTTCCGAACCGATTAAAACCCTTCGCTCGCCGGAAAAAGGTGAGGGACGAAAATGAAAGAACTCAGAGAGAAGGCGGAGGAGATCCCAAGAGCCACCGCAGACGGCGGCATGGTGGTGGTGGAGCTGCCGCTGGGGGAGGCGGCGGCGACATTCGATCTGGTGAAGGCAGTTTGTAGCCATGGTTTGTTCATGACGGCCCCCAATCACTGGGACCCTCTCTCCAAAACCCTAGAACGCCCACTGCGCCTCCATTCTGATGGTGAATCTGGTAATGGCGACTCTATTCCTTCGTCATCACCTACTTCTCTTCTCGTCCGCATCTCTCACCCCTCCTATTCTCCTCAATCTCTCCATCTCCATGTCTTTGGCACCGTCTTTCTCTCTCCTCAGCACCAAAAATCGTTACTGGTATCTCTCTCTCTCTCTCTATGCATATATTTGTGTATGTATATATTGATTGTGATTTGATTGATGTGGATTGGTAGGATCAAGTGAGGAGAATGCTGAGATTGTCGGAGGGGGAAGAGAGGAGAGTGAAGGAGTTTCAGAAGATGCATGGAGAAGCCAAAGAGAGGGGTTTTGGGAGAGTGTTTAGGTCGCCTACATTGTTCGAGGACATGGTCAAGAGTGTACTCCTCTGCAACTGCCAGTAAGCTCTCTCTCTCACTGGAAGCAATTGCTATGTATAAAATTAAGAGGAAAGTTGGAATTTTGATGGATCTGTTTTTTGAGGTGTAATTTTGTGTACATGGATGAATTGCAAATGGGTGTAAATTATTCAATGAATTAAGCATTGAATTCTTCTCAAAAGGACTAATTAGAACAATGCACTTCTTTATTATTGAACATTGTCCTCAGGGAAGTCTGGTGTCAAGCTTGTTTGATTGTTGAAAGCAAGTGTTGGAAATTAGGGTAATGCTACGCAAATTATGACATTTGTGGGTTTGATTACCACCAATGTCGTAACTCAATTCTACAGAATCATAATTGAAAAACAAACAAAATGAGTTATAACCAAACAGCACATAAGGTATAACCAAATAACTCTTGGATCATAACCAAAATAATTGAGTCATAACTAACACCACCACAATGGGTCACAACCAAAGACCACAAAGGTAGTAACTGGGGTGCATAGTGTGTACCATAGAATTTCCTTGAAAATTAATATATGGTTATGTATATATGCTAATAATTCAAATCGGAAAACTTGCTAATCGAGGTCTGAATTCTTGGGCCATTAGTTCTCTGCGGGTGCTTTTTTATCATGTATTCAATATGCTCTTATTTTCAATCTGTTTGAACCAAAACCCATGTGTTTCTGTTGGTTTGTCAAGTCCAACTCAACTTTTGTCTGCTGCTGGGCAGGCCTGTTATCACTACCATTTGATGTGCACTCGTACCTGCAAAATTCAATGGTTCAAAGCCTCAATAACTATAAGCTTTTGATAGGCTTGAGTCTATGCACTGATTTATTCAAGTGTTGGGTTGATTTTTATTTTTTATTTTTTAATCTCGAGCATATACTTTGTCAAATTAACAGAGACAATACAAGATCTTGTAGTGAAGCGGCATGTTTTAATTCAAAAAATTGATTCTTGGAGAACAGCAATAGCACTAAGTCCTGCCTACAAAGTGTGGGAAAAGTCACCGGTGGCTCAGATATATATGGCACAGTAGCTTGCAGTGAATACGCTCTGCAAGAAGTTTCATAGTACTAAACATTGCAATTCAATGGAATTGGGTGTACTATGATAAGAAGAAATGTATCCCAATAGTCAATGCCTTTAGATAGAGGTTGATATACTCATCCTTTGCTTTTATTGGTTTTTTAGGAGATCTCTCTTTCATAGATGTTGTATAGCTGAATTTTTATTATTAAAATATACTCTTGGTGTACACAGGTTACATCCCTTTTTGGTTCTTCTAATGAAATCTTTGCCTCTTGGTATTCAATCATTACTCCTGAATTAATGTCACATCAAAATAGACAAATGCTATGTTAATATATAGAAATAAATAGAGAACTGTTATTCCCACTCCCATGCTTTATATATACACTCCATATTGTCTTTAGTATTAAAAAAAACTATACATATTACAATTTCCAAAGCACACTAAATGACAAAATACGGTGTGCACTTATCGATAAAGGTATTACGATTAGTAATTCAGTATAAATATATCTGTATACTTTTCTCTAGAAGAGAAGCCTTTATTTACCTTTGTACAAAAGAAACAATTGCATGGTTCATATTTAGGATATCCAAATTGATAATGGGAGCCAAAAAAAAAGTTAGTTACAAGGCAAAACCACTAAAAGGGAATAATAATTTAATAGATTTCTACCCAATTATAAATAACATAACAAGAATGTCCCAGGCTGGTGACTCTAGTATGGAATAATAGAACATGTGGGAGAACATACAAAACTACTTCTCTCAATTTCCAATTTGTTAACAAATGGGTATTGGGTTTTAAGCTTGGAAAACTCTATTCTTGGATAATTTATACAAAAAATACCACAAGAATGATGTGGCTACATCATTTTTGTAAATAAAAGTCATCTTCATGAGTGATTTATTTTAAAGTAAAAGGTCCACATTGAGCGACATTATTTTGTACAGAAATTCTGTATGAATTTTCTATTATTATATCATTACTCTTTAATCATCGTAGTTTTGTTTTAAAAAGTTGCCTATGTTTCATCTCCTCGTATTCACAAAATCTGTTTGTCAAAAGATAGAAAAGATTAAAGAAATGGAAAAACACATTTGCTCTCTTTTGATGATCGTGCTGTTATTTCTGGCTCCAATCACTGTGGTTATATTGTTATTTGTTGGTTGATAGTGTCAAAATTTTGAGATTGGCAAATTGTGCTCTTGACATTAACGGTATTAACCTCAGCAGATACAAAAGAGTAGCAAAATTAGTGTTTGGTCATATGCAGCTTATCATTCTGTGTATGCTTGGGTTTTAAATAACAGTCTTCTCAAAGTTGATGTTTTATGAGTGAAAAAGAAAAAAAAAAAATGTATGAACTTAATGTATGCTTATCTTCTGTAGGTGGTCCAGGACCCTGAGCATGGCTAGAGCACTTTGTGAGCTTCAGTTGGAACTGCAGTGCCCATCATTCAGTGCATTTGTTCCCAATGTTGAAAATGGTACAAAAACTCCAAAAGCTGAGACTGAGCATTTAGTTCCAAAGACACCTATAGGAAAAGAACCAAAGAGGAAGCTTCGAGCAAAAAAAGGTTCCAAAAATTTAGCCATCAGATTTTTGAAGACCCAAACACAAATAGAAGCAGAAAATACCACGAGGACAGATTCTGTTGAAATGTCAGATTGCTTACAAGGGACAAAGAAACTATGCCCAAGCATCCTCTTGTCAAATGGAGAAAAAGACTTGCATGAATGCTACAACTTTTCTCAGACTTCAACTGAAATTAGTAATGCTGATTTAACTGAAGTTTCTAAAGCTGATTCACGTCTGTTTTCTGATCTTCAGTCTTCAGAAGTGATAGAACTTTCCAGCCACAATAGGATTGGAAATTTTCCTAGCCCAAGAGAACTAGCAACCCTTAATGAAAAGTTTCTGGAAAAGCGCTGTAATCTTGGCTATAGAGCAAGTCGCATAATAAAGCTTGCTCAGAGTATTGTTGAAGGCAGAATCCAACTTAGACAACTTGAAGAAGCTTGTAGTGAACCAAGCTTATCAAACTACAGCAAGGCAGTTGAGCAACTGAACGAAATTTATGGATTTGGCCCTTTTACATGTGCCAATGTGCTTGTTTGCATGGGATTTTACCATGTGATTCCAACTGATTCTGAAACTATTAGGCATTTAAAACAGGTCCCTCTTTTTGTTTGTTTGTTTGTTTGCTGCTTTTTTTTTTTTTTTTTGTTTCCTCGTGTGTTCTCAGTTGTTGGAAATATAGCTGACCCCCTTGAATGGTTGTTAGCTCAGGTTCATAAAAGAAATTCCACCATTCAAAATGTTCAAAGAGATGTTGATATAATGTATGAAAAGTATGCACCATTTCAGTTCTTGGCATACTGGTACGGCATACCAGTCCTCCTACTACTACTATTTTGCCCTCATGTTCTGTTCTGCTGATTGAACTCTTGTTTTTTTGTTGTTGATCAGGTCAGAAATGTGGCAGTTCTACGAGGAATGGTTCGGAAAGCTGAGTGAAATGCCTCACTCTGATTATAAACTTATTACAGCTGCTAATATGAGAACTACGAATGGCAAAAGTAAGAGGGCCAAGAAATCCTGATGAGGATTTTTCTGCCATGAATTGTTTAGAAAGCCAATTGCAACGCCTTGAATGAGGTTTGAAGGAGTGGGAAAAAAAAGTTAGGACAGAGATTTTGGAAACATATTGGATACGTCAAAAGACAAAAGGTGAGCCGAAAGCCTTTTCAATTTTTTATTATGAGCATGCTGTTTTTGTAAAACCACATATGCAAACGGTTATCGTGCATATTATGACGTTTCGTACAACATTCTGAACATCATGCCAAACTAATTTGATACAATATATGTTCCCAATGTTTTGCTTGTCCAGTTTTTGAAGATGCCCTTTCATTGTTTATTTAGCTGTATCTTATGAAAGATTAGGATATTCTGGAGATTAACTGACCAATTAGCTGGTACCCTGAATGAAAGTGTTAAAGATCGGACTTGGGAGCATTAGACTGTCAAAAGCTGGATACTGGCTGTTGGAAATGTTAGATGCCGCCCTTGGAGTTCTAATGGGATGGCTAAAATTGTTTGTCATGTGTTAAATGACAAAAAGTATTTAAATTAGGACCCAATTTTGTTCAAGTTTTTGTTAATTTTGTTAGTGGGTCTTCCAATGCTGTAGTTAGAATGTGTTAAAATAAAAATAAAAATAGGCAGTGACAAAAATAGTTCTCTCTCTGCCAAAATCATCTCCACAATTAACACGTGACGTAACTTAAAAGAGGAAAAATTATACTGACCTCATTTAACTAATACTCAAATTACACCTGACCCTATTAGTATAGATAAATGACGCCGACCTGCCTAAGGATTAGTCACATTAAACTTATATTCATTTTTTTTTTTAGATAACTTGGCATCCAAGTCATTGGACTGACTAATTTGGAAAACTAATGTTACCGTCCACTTATATTCATGTTATTAATCAACTGTTAAGTAATTGGATAAAATATGATAACGTCGTTAATTTTTTAATAAAAAACCAATTTTACCCTTCATTAGTTCTTTGAATATTTTTAAACGATAAAAAAAGAGGAAAATTAATTAGTTTGCCTTCCAAAGCCTATCACCCTCCCCTCACCACTACCACCATGACTTAGAGCATTCCAAATAGGGCTCACAATAAGCCCACTGATTCACACGCTATGACAGTGAACATTTTTGTTTTGCTCCAATGGGTTTGCTAAGATGTTGCTAGTTGTTGCAGAAGTTAAAATTTGCTAAAACCATAAGCTCTATGCCGTGAGCCGTATAATGAACAAGTGAGACACAGATAGAGGGGAGGGGAGAAAGGCTTTGCCATATGGACACATCGTTGGAATTAGGAAATAGTGATATTATAATTATGGTAGTGTTAAATTAGGAAATAGTGAATATTGTAATTATGGTAGTATGTATAAAATCTGTGATTGTGTCAATCACAGATATAATGTCTTTTTTTTATCTTCGTTTCCTATTTTGTTCGTTACCTATTTTGTAATATTGTTTCATTATAAATACAAGGCTCTACCTCATTCATAGGTAAGCCAAAATAATTCTTTTCATCCTTTTTGGTATTAGAGCCAAAGACCAGCCACCCTAGCCCTTCTCTCCCTCTGTCGGCACCACCCAGTCCCACCTATCACCACGGCTAGCCTTATTTTTTCTCTTTCAGCTACCGACAGCCCTACCCACACCTTATAGACCACCCAACAATGCTTCTTCTTCCCTGTTTTCCCCTCTGCAGGTCTCCTACACTCTTGCTGAGGCTCTGTTTGCTGTTGACCAGACTTTGTTTTGGTCCTGTGTGCTTCGGCTACCCCTCTAGGGTGGTTCGGGCCCCTTTTCCCCTTCTCGGGGTGTTGTGCTAATGTTTTAGGTACCTTTTTTTTTTTTTTTCCTGTCCTCTTGATTCATTGGGCTTCCACATTTGTTCGGTAGCATTTATTTGGATAAGCCGTTGAGTTTTTTTCTGGCTTCTTGTATTATTTCAGCCATTGTTGCTGTGATTTTGTGTGTTTTTCAGCCCCTATTCTTCCACCGTGACTAAGCCATCTCTTATTGTCTCTTCTGATGTACCCACCAAACCTATTCCTGTTGGTTTTGATTCTTCTCTTTCTCATCACACTCTTGTTCATCGTATTACGAGTGTGGTGTTGAATGGGAAAAATTTTGCTGCTTGGAGCCGTTCCCTTAAACTCTATCTTGGGAGAAAGGAAAAGGCCCATTGGCTTTTATCTACTATTACTCCGCCAGCTGCGATGGACCCTATACATGCTCAATGGGATATCGATAACTGCACTATATTGGGATGGATGTTTAATTCCATGGAAGATTGGATTTATCATATGTTTCTTTATTGCGATACAGTTTCGAGTTTGTGGCAGACATTGTCACAAATGTACGCTCATGCTTACAATGATGCCCGTATCTTCGAGCTTTACTAGGATATAGCCCGGGTCTCTCAGTCCTCTCTTGGCCTTTCTATCGTTGAATTCTTTGGATATCTTCAGGCTCATTGGGAGGAACTTGCTCAATATGAGCCTTTAACTGACCTTCCACCAGTAGCCGCCTCCCTTGTATCCAAGAGGCTTGCCCGATAGCACACTTATCAGTTTCTCATGGGTTTAAACTTTGAATTTGAATCTCTTCGAATTCAGATTCTAAACACATTACCCATGCCATCTCTTTATGAGGCTTTTGCCATTATTGACAGTGATAAGCGTCGCCGGCGATTGGTTCAACCTAGTGTTCCTTCAGTCCCTCCAGTTTTAGCAAATTAGATGGCTCTTGCTGCGAGTTCTAGTTCTCGAAGTTCCATCGGTTCTGTTACTTGTCATCATTGTGGTGCCCTGGACATGTCAAAGCCTGTTGCTTAAAACTTCATCTTGAGTTAAGGCAACGCCCTTCCCGTCCTCGTGGTCTTGCTCCACGTGGTTCTGGCTCTACTCGCACTGCTGCTTTAGTGGAAGTTACTCTTGCTTCTGAGCCTTCTAATGTCCCTAATCTACAGCAGTTACAGACTTAGGTTGGTCAGCTTCAGGCTCAACTTGGGTCTCTCACCACTAGTTCTCTTAGTTCATCATCCTCTACTGCCACCTTTGCTACAGGTATTTCTACTGCTTTCCATGTTCAGTCTGCTAGTCCTTTATGAATTCTGGATTCTGGGGCTACTGATCATATGACTGGTGAGTTTTCTTTTCTTTCCTCTCCTAAACCCACCATTGTTGCCCCATCTGTGTGTCTTGTTGATGGTTCTTGCTCTTTTGTCCAACATAAGTGTGTTGTGTCTTTATCCCCTGCCATCACTTTATCTTCTGTGTTGCATGTTCCCAAGTTTGCTTATAATCTTTTATCTATTAGTCGTCTTGCCAAAACCTTTAACTGCGCTGTTATCTTCTTCCCTTCTTCATGTCTTTTATAGGACCTGAGTTCGAAGAGGATTTTTGGTAGGGGATATGAGTGTGATGAGCTATACTACTTTGGGGATCCACCGAACCAGCCTTTGATTTTAGCTAGTTTTCAGGCATCTGTTTTGCCTACTTCTATATCTTGTGTTTTTTCTGTTCAAACTTTAGAGTTATGGCACGCCCGTATGGGTCATGTTAACTTTCAATATTTATGTCAACTTTTTCCTTTACTAAATAAAGCTTGCAAGGATTCTAAATTTCATTGTGTTACTTGTGAGTTGTCTAAACATATCCGTACTAGTTATATACCACATATGACATGGGCCCCTAGTGCTTTTGACCTTATTTATTTTGATGTTTAGGGTCCCTCTCCTATTTCTACTTTTTCGGGTTATCGTTATTATGTGACTTTTATTGATAATCACACTAGGTGCACTTGGGTTTATTTACTTCGCCGCAAGTCTGATGTGTTTTCCATGTTCATTCAGTTTTTTGCAAATGGTTAAGACACAATTTCATACAGTTGTTAGGAACATCCACTCTGATAATGGTGGGGAATACGTCTCCAATGAGTTTCGTTTCATCCTTAATCGAATGGGTATTCTTCAACAACTTACATGTCCTCGGACTCCTGAACAAAATGTCTTTTCTTCCTTAGCTAATTTTCAAGCCTCTGTTCTGCCTGTTTCCATGTATTGTGTTTTTAATATTCAGACTTTAGAATTATGGTACGCTCGTATGGGTCATGTTAATTTTCGATATTTATATCAACTTTTTCCTTCATTTAATAAAGCTTGCAAAGATTTTAAGTTTCATTGTGTGGTTTGTGAGTTGTCTAAGCATACTCCTACTAACTATATCCCTCATATGACTTATGCTCCTGGTATTTTTGATCTTATACATTCTGATGTTTGGGGTCCTTTCCCTGTCACTGTTTTTTCTGATCATAGTTATTATGTGACTTTTATTGATAATCACACTAGGTGCACTTGGGTTTATTTACTTCGCCGCAAGTCTATTGTGTTTTCCATGTTCATTCAGTTTTTTGCAAATGGTTAAGACACAATTTTATACAGTTGTTAGGAACATCCACTCTGATAATGGTGGGGAATACGTCTCCAATGAGTTTCGTTTCAACCTTAATCGAATGGGTATTCTTCAACAACTTACATGTCCTCGGACTCCTGAACAAAATGGTGTGGCTGGACGTAAAAACTGTCATATTATGTCTGTCGTATGTTGTCTTCTTCGTGGTATGCGTGTGCCCAATTATTGGCACATAGCTGTTCTTACTGCGATCTATCTCATTAATAGGACTCCTAGTCGTGTGTTACATGGCGTTACCCCATTCCATATTCTTATGCCTAAGACTATCCTTTTTCCTCTTTTACCTCGTATTTTTGGGTGTACATGTTTTGTTCAGGACCGTCGTCCCGCTCGCACTAAGTTAGATGACAAGTCTATTCGTTGTATCTTTTGGGGGTATTCTTCCATGTCTAAAGGGTATAGATGTTTTGATCTTGTGTCTCGTCACTTTCACCACACTCTGAATGTTACTTTTTTGTGAGGATCTTCCTTTTTTTAGTCCTAACCCCCCTTTGCAGGTTTCCTCTTCCAAGTTTGTAGGCCCAACATTACTGTAGTTGTCTATCGGCAAGCTGCGTTTATTGAATATCTTTACACAAGTTAGAGGGAAAGTGTTGGAATTAGGAAATAGTGATTTTATAATTATGGTAGTGTTAAATTAGGAAATAGTGAATATTGTAATTATGGTAGTATGTATAAAATCAATCACAGATTTAATGCCTTTTTTATTTTTGTTTCCTATTTTGTAATATTGTTTCATTATAAATACAAGGCTCTAGGTAAGCCAAAACAATTCTTTTCATCCTTTTCATATCAGAGAAAAATTTCTGATAGGGGAGACAAGCTTTGCCACAAGGACATATGAGAGAAAAAAGTCTGATTTTTTTTTTGTAGTACACTACAAATGACGTTTTGTTGCTGCTGCTTTAGTGTTTTTTTTTTTTCTTCCAGTTGTTGCTCTCTTCTCCACAAATTTAGATCTGGGTTGCCACCAACACCACCTCCGGCGATGGACGAGGAGCACCAACATGACCTATTCAGATTTGGGTTGCCACTAATACTACCTCTGGTGACGGACAATGAGAACTAGCATGACCTTTCCTCTTCACCTTCCCTTCTCCTTCCGGTCTAGTCCGGATGCCACAAACACCACCTTCGGCAACCCCTCAACCACCATCAACAACCCTCTTCTCATCCCCACCCCTTATTCTTCTTCTTTTTTCTTCTTTGTTGTTGCCGCTACAAACCCTTCTTCTTTGCCACTGCAAACCCTAGATCCAGGGTTTGTGGCAAAGAAGAAAGAAGAAAGAGGAGAAGAAGAAAGAGAAGAGAGGTTGGGATTGGGCGACGATGGCAGTTGGCAATGGTGCGAGGGAAGCGGGAAGGGGACTGTGATGCGATGGGTTGAAGGTGGGAGAAGGTGATTGTCAAAGCAGGTTGGGTTGGTCACCACTCTTCCCTCAATCTGTTCTATATCAAAATGATGTCATTTTTATGCACAATAGAGTGGGCACTACAGAGGATCCAAGTTCAAGAAAAAAAAGGCAGAAAAGTGATAAAAATAAATGTTAGTTGTGGCATTAAAAATTTATTTAATATTTTTTTTTTGTCCTTTGTACATAGATATGATAGATGTAAATATACATTTAGTTGTACCATTGGAACACAATCACTCTCTAAACCAACAAACACTACGCACACAATTGATTTTCACTTTTATCACTATGGAGTGGTTTGGGAAGATGGTAAAAAACTGACTTTTGGCTTTTTACCAAGCTTTTTGACTTTTTTGGAAAGTGATTTGGGAAGTTAGTAAAAAGTTATTTTTTTGCCTTTTGGGTTAATATTTGTTTATGGCGTCACACTGAAATGATCAAAATACCCCCACCCAACTTAGGAAATTTACTTTTTTACCCATGTGGTTGTTTGAACAATTTTTTGGGAATATAATATTAATGTTACCAACAATGTAAAAGTTGGTGTTTTTCCGAAGAAATTGCGCTTCAATTTTTTTTTTCTTTTTAATTTCTGATTTATTTATGCTAAACGCATTTGACAGCCTTTGTTTTATAAAGACAAGCAGACAGTATTATAATCAGTTCAACAGTGCGATATATTCATATCATTTCCCATCAATAGGTGTGTTCGAACAGGATTACAGCTCGAGTTCACGTCGATATCGCACCAACTCATTCCGAATAGTTTTCTAGCTTCGTTCATATGTACGTCATCATCGCCCTCCGGTTCACCATCATGTCATTGAAAATAAAAGTCTTTGCATTGGCAACCCTATTGAAGTCTTCATTGTCGTTGGGTAGCGGTGTATAAAATTATGTAGTGCCATTGAAGCCCCGACCAATGGCACCTGTATTTTTCCAAAATCATACCAAGGCATGTTATGTAAGAAACCCTATCGCACTTTCCAAACTCCGAACGTATGTTCAATTGCACTCCGTAAAGAGGAGTGCACCGTGTTGAAAACTTCGTTTGCATTTTTTGCCCATCCACTAGCATGAAACTCTTCTTAGTGGTATCGACATCCCTTAAACGGCGCCAAAAAGCCTTTTTGGTTCTTGTACCTCGCATCAATGAGGTAGTATTTTCCTACTTGTAATAAGATCAGTTTGCATTAGTAACCTCATTTATTAACCAAATGCACACTACTAACAACTACATTGAACACCCCTAATTCATCTAATCTTCCTTTGGGTGGGGGAATTGTTTTGCCAGGTCCTGTGGTACTTCGTTAAAAACTCTATTGTCGTGCATATTACCCTCCCATTTGCAGGAGATAAAAGTAAAACACAAGTCAAAATTACACACCGCGAGTATGTTTTGGGCAAGGGCATTGTGTGTAGGTGAGGAAAACATTCTTAGCATAGAAACGGAAAGAGGCTTGGCAAGGCATTTTGTAGTGGTAAACAGTAAATTCACACCAGTCGTACAAGGGCTCCCTATTAGTTAAAAAATCTGGTGTGAGTTGGTGTGACTGGAAGGGCGCTGTATTAATATTACCAGCGCCCCCTCTCTCCCCCCGCACGCGCGCGTTGATCTGAGCCGTCCATTCATTGATTATGGACACGTGCATGGATGTAGTTAAAAGGAACTCGGGCCCAGGTGTGAGTGGTGTAAGTACTTTTGATTCCTTTGTTGGGTAGTGCTTTACACGTGTCAGTTTGTCGCGGTTTGCGTGGTTGTAATGTAAAGATATTTTCAGATGGAGTGACATAAAGCAAAGACGGGAAAATGATTGTGCTTTTGAATTGTTTTGAATTGGGAATCTTTCTCCTTACTCACGGGCTAATTTTGCTATTTATTTGGTACCAGAAAACATTTGTCCGTAGAGAGGAAAATGCTTTTGCAGTGGGATAGCTATTGCGGTTACGTTTTTTGGTACCTTGTTTCGTCCCCCATTTTTTGTCTTTTTTTGTTGTTGATTGTATTGGTATACAATGTTGTACTACTTAAAAGAGTATCATGAGAATTACGGGCAGTTCACTCAAATGTGTATAGATCGTTTTTTGACGTGGCAAATAGGATTAGGGGAAGAGAGTCGGTGGTCAGTTCCAGCGAAGTTTGTTTGTGGGTACGAGAAGTAGAGGGCAAAAATATCAAAGCTAAGGTGTCTGAACAAAAGGGTTGACAGAGGTAATTGATTTTGTAAAAGTGTTTAGATAAAAGATTTGGAGTTTTTTTTTTTAAAAAATGAAAGGAGTAGTAAGTAGCCAATATCAGACTCCCCTTGCGTACTGGAGGTCAAGGACATTGGCGTCCAGTGGATATAAGTGTAGTTACCATGGTCGTGCACCTTTTAGGGCTGCATACATTCGTAGATGGTACATTCATAATATTCTCCAATATATTAAGAAGACTAAGAGGGGAGTAAGGAAGTTACAACTGTAGGATGAAAAGTTAAGGGACGTTAAATTTGATAATAAAGGTGTGGCGAGATTGTTGAATGGTATTGAGTTGGGTAGTAAAAGATATGACCGTCAATCAGACAAGATCGTGGTTAAGGGTATAAAATTAATTGGGAATGTTTAATTAGGACAAGAGGCTAAAGAGGAAACTGTGGTCCACCATGTTTTGTTTTTCATCATAAGTAATAATAGTCTGTCAGATTCCATTCCCACACCTGACAAGATATTTATTGGAGTTGGTGAGGGTAATCCTAAGATCTTGATTGTTGATCTTGACCTGTCCAACAGGTTTCAGATGCTAAAGAAAATGAGATTCAAGCTCTTTGGTGGCAAGGACAAAAAGTATGTTCATCACGGAATAGAGGTTGTGGATCGGTTTTTTCAAGTTGTTGTTTAGATGGACTACAAAGATACGCTGTTGGGAAATGTTGGAATTATTCAGAAGGGTGAGATATATTTAGTGGCTGCTACTGTTAGTAGAAAAGAATGCAAAATTATGAAGGAATCAAATGTACTTAGAACTGTTTAGATTTATAATTTTTATGTATTTTTATTTGTAATGTTCAGGTGGATAGAGGTGGATGATATAAAAACTAGTGTTGTTGAAGGTGTTTCAACAAGTGATTTCACTTATGTTGAACTTCCTTTGCCTAATTTATTTTATTATTTGAGATTGAGATATAAACAAAAGAGTATTAAGGTTAATAAAATATTAATAAAATATTTCCCTTTTTGCCCATCTAATGCCAGTGGGCAAATGTGTACGATCGAAGGTTGGATGGCAATGACAGTTTGTAGATGTATTTTGTTTTTCCCGTGGACTGTCAGTGCAAATTAGTGTATTATGGGAATGGTTATTGTTCCATTAATGACAAAGAAGGTGCCATGGGTTATGAAGTATCGACTTGAAAATTCAAATGTTAAAAGGGGTGTAACATATTGTAAAATGAAGGGGTATTTGAAGCATTCTACGAGTGAGATGCCAGAAGATTTGCAAATGAGGGCCCATCTATTGTTGTGTTGTCTAAAAAACATATGAAGGCTAATGTGGATGTTTGGCATTGTGCCCTGACCAAAGCTGTTCTGATTCTCGCACGGACTATGTCTGTTGGTTTACCTGAGACGCGGAGAGATTTGCTGTTAGGAGGTTTTGGGGAAAGTGATTCAGTTATTGATGAATGTAGAGGTTGTCTCAGCTTGTTCGAGATTGATATACGCAGAGGTGGTGATGGTACTAGAGATGTGCCTCCACGTGTGTGCCGTCTAGCACGCTAATACAGTCCTGGGCAAGCACACAAAGTAGTTGCATAAGCAATAAGGACAAACACATTAGCCCAAAAATGTAATTCCTTGTTTTGTGAATATGGTTACTAATCACAATATTGGCTAATTACGTAAACTCACTCTGGATGGAAAATATTTTCGTCAGGACTCCAAGTACGGATGTCTGTTGTGTTGTGACCTTGTCAGTTGATAGTGTGCACTCGCAAACAACTTCATTACTTTTAAGAACGCGCATTACATGACGCCATACTGTTTCCCCTGAGTGTTGGAAATGATCTTCAATATTCCAACTCTAGAAGCCTTGCAACACGAATATGAACATGCCGACCTTCTCAACTACATCCACACCATGGGAATGCTGTGGCAGTGGGAGGCCGAAATCCTCAACTAATGTTTTGTACAACAATAAGAACACGTCCTTTGGCATGCTAAAATTTTGCTAAAATGTTTCATTCCGACCACGAAGCATCTCCTTTATCCACAAGTGACTAGTCAACGATGATGTGTGAAATGGAGTCCTTTCAACATATGCGTACTCATTGGCAACACGTGCAATTTCCACCCATATCATTGATGTCAACGATTCCATTTCTCCAATCGTCTCTCGTATCCACGCATTTATTTGCCCATTGCGTATGACTCCTAAGTTAGTACTCTCTTGCAGATCCGTGGACACTGCACACCACGGAAGAAAGAAATACAAAATTTGCAGACAAACCGAAAAATAAGTTTGTAACCAACAATACCGAAAACATTTGATCCATATGGTACGTTAGTCCACAATAACCACTTTGTACAGTTTACAACACTTGCTTGCCATAAATGGTGTTCTAATAAATATATCAATAGCAAATACCAATATATATTAATGTAAGCCACTTACTAGACCTTCGGCAGGGTTATGTTAGTGTGAAGTGAATAAAAAAATGAAATGCAGAACTTGTTCAACGGAAGTGAAATTAGGAGCACAACAACAAATGAACTAATAATGAGCTACCAACTTCTTGTTTCCATACGAACATACCATGTCTGTATATAGCACTTGTGTGACAAGTTCAAGTACATACAACTATTTGCTTGTGATGCATGAAGAATGGGGATGTGACACTTCCCTGTGAAAGTTAGTACATGGTGCATGTGGCTAACAAATTCCATTGTCATGCATCCATGGCATTAGCAACAAAATAAGCAACAGTTTCATTGTTGCATGTACACTTGTTGGATACCTACGTCATATGTGAGGGTTAAATCCTACTCCTGCCATCTACCAACATCCAAAAAATTTCTTTTACCCTACAGTAATTTATAGAACCAAAATAAATAAATACAAAAATTAGTTTAATAGCAATTTCCAAAAAAAAAAAAGAAAAGAAAAAAGAGAAGAAATTTCTTACACATTGCAGCATACTTAAGGAAAAGGTAGTATATTGTGCAGGAAGCTCACAGAGTACCTAAGATTCCATTGCCATAGATCCATGGCATTAGATTCCATTGCCATAGATCCATGGCATTAGC